CATCATGCCACTAGCTAGGTCTAGGGTTACTCGACCTAAGACGCGAGAGAAATGAGGGAGACGGTGAACCAACTCGGCGGCGGTGAGCTCGAGTGCCATGGCGGCCATGGCGACCGCGCGCGGAGCAGCGACTCATTCCGACGCAGTCACGTGGTAGTGTCATTTCTAGATCCGACCTAAGCATCTAGACTGTAGCATGGTGCTAGACCAGAGAAGATGGAGGCATGCGGTGCGGTGGAACGGCTGAGCCACGGTGAGCCACGAGCGCGGCGGTGCTCCGATGACGACAGCGGCTATGGCGAGGCTAAATGCCGTTATACCTAGGGTCGATAGGTGATGCTAGTGGCTCGAGGAGGTGGAGGTGATGGCGGAGTAGCTGTGGCCGAGACGAATCGATCGGCGAGGCTACGTCGGCGGCGAGCAGCTGCGGCGGCGCACAACGAGCTCGGCGTGGTGCTTTGGTGAGGCAGAACGAGCGGGAGAAGGCGAGAGCGAGTGAGTGGAGCGAGCGGCGAGTGCACGGCGCTTATGTGCCCGCTCTGGCCTGACCGGCCAGGCCAACGCCGGTGTACGGCCGCCACGCGGCGGCCATGGCCTATGGCCGGTCGGCCACTGGCGTGCGCGTGAACGCGTCTGTCAGGGCATATTACGACGACTGACAGCACGTTTTCAACCCATATATCTCCTAATCTGTTCGTCAATTGCAAAAACTCCATTAAGAAAAGTTGTAGAGCTACATGCCATCTATAACTTTGCTTTAGGGAGTATTCCTTAATTCACCACGGTTTATGAGTTAAATCATCCCAAAGTCGGTTACTTGCAAACTGAAATCAGCCCAACACTTAGAAAATTTTCACCAAGTGTAAAACAATATTTTTTTGCTACTTGTGAGATGTTTTTGAGCATACTATGCACTTAATTAGACCTTGACCCAAAAATAAAAGTTGTTACCCTAGTTAAATACTACAACTTTTATTTAGATCACACAGCCATGCAAACACTCTAAGCTACTGTTCAACTTTGATCAAACTAGTATCAAATGAAACCAATACTTAGAAGCAAATTTGGCCTATGTCATGAATACAAACATTGTTTCAGTTATCATTCTAGATGTGTCTAAGGTGTTTTCATGACCTCCGAACCATTTCTTACATTGGTCATACATGATTGCAAGCATAAGCATATATATAAAATCAACATTTCATGCGATAATGTATAAGAATGAGATAAAATTTCATATGCTCATGTTCATGAATGCTGGGACGATGCTTGTGCTCATGAAATGCGGATGCCAAATACAATGCTTACAGTAGCTATGTTCATGGCTCTTGCTTTTATTTGGGAGAGGTGTATCTAGAAGGACAAGCATCGCATCTGCAATTTATGGATTGCACATGGCGCTGCATCCTAAAGCAAAGGAATGTACCATCTCACCTTTGATTCTGCTGGAGTGTGTGTATAGATTTCTGGAAAGAACCCCTTCTCTTCGTTGACCACCTTGCATCATAGTACATAGAGGACATGTTTGACTCTCTTGTGATACAACCCAAGAGTGCAAGCTGACTATGACAAATCATAGTATTGTACTAATTTTTGTAATGCAAGATGCAACTACTGTACTAATATAGCCTGCAGCTACAAAGCAATCCAATAGTAGGTTTCAGAATATTGACAAAATGGAAAAATCATAGGTATGATACACGTTTACTGAAGTTCTATTGCAGACCACCAATAGGATCCAGATTATCCAACCAACTTTGCACTGCCATATCTGAATTTACTCATATGAGGTGAGCACAACGAACGACATGAGCCACGGAAGGAAACGAGCTTCGTGCGTGGGCTCACCCCATGGGGCCGGTCCCCCAAAAAAACATGACAATATTTTTATTAGTATAATCTTGTAGTTTTATTTATATTTAGTGCAATAAGTTAACAAAATTATTGTACTAAATATAAATAAAAATTATAAGATTATACTCATAAAAAATGTTGTCATATCTTAGGGGGGCCATGGCCCCTGCTGGCCCCCCTTGGATCCGCCATTGTGTTCCATATCCATTCCACTGTGGGAAAAAACGGGTGACTAATTTTATTTCCATTGTGAAGATACGATTGAGAACTGTATACTAAACACACGCTGCTACACTAATGGGTGCAATGTTAAATGTCAACGCCCAATAATGTTCTGTTGCTGCGGTAATCAGAAATCAGCACTGTTGGCAAATAGTATCTATAGCAACCATGCACGATGAAAATTGGGGCATTTGTAAAGTCAGCCGGAAGCAGCAGCCACCTCTATAAATACATTTCTAGAGACGGCTGGTTCAAACTGATTTATGGAGCCAGATGTAGATTGAGCTACCTATGTCCAAAAAAAGCTATCATTGCTAAAGATCATTTCCTGCAGTAGTGGTATTTTTCTTTGACAAAGATTAAGGTCTGACATTGGTAATTAAACTAATATTTCTTTCATGTGGACTTTTGGGTGTAACTAAGAGCCTGTTTGGGACGCCTCTGCTCTAGTTTTTCTAGCTCTGCTCCACCAACTCCATCATGGAGCAGGTCCACTGTAGAGTTCCTAGAGCAGGTTGACACGCAGCCTAGCTCCAGCTCCAGTTTTGTGAGGTTGCCTTGAGAAAAGTCTAATATGTCCCTAGATGATATTTGGTGTATGTTTTGTTGTATGTGGAGCATAATGTAAATTTTTTTTTGTTGCCAATTAAAATATGATGTAAAATATTGTAATGTAAAAAATATTGCAGCTCAACATTACAAATCAGCATACATAGAAAATAAAAAATAGTGTAGTGTACACAGAAAAGAAAAAATAGTGAAGCTCATCATAGATACAGAGTAGAAAAGAAAAAATATTGTAGCTCATCATAGATAGAAAGAAAAATACTGCAGCTCATTAAAAGGAAGGGCGGGGCCATGGCCAGCGGTTGGAGTACAGGGTCGGGGGAGAAGAAACGTGTGGGCAGGGGCGAGCGTACATGCATTGGTAGTCGAACTGTGTTTTTATTAATGAGCGGCAAGAGTGGGTAATTTTGCCATAGCTCCATGAGGGAATACAAAAGTCCAAATCCTAGAGTACTTCTTGAGATACTCCAGAAAAAACGTGGAGTTGGCCTCTAACTCCTTTTTTTGGTGGAGCAAGTTTCAGAAGCCAAAAGTGTTTGGCAAGACAAAACTAGAGTAGAGTTGAAAAAACTACGCCCGATCGTCCGGACGGATGTCCGCGTCCGGATGTCGGTGTCTGCTGCTCCATTCACGCGTGTTCGCATGCACATAGGAGCTCGCACCCCGCTCCACGCCTCCCCGTCCGGACACCCGAGCCCCATCACGCTTCCCGCCCCGCCCCCTCCGCTTTCAGCACGCATATGCCGCGCATGGACTGCTTGCGCCCTCCCCATCCGCTTCTGGCATAAGTTTCTCGTGCCGCCCTGAACGTCACCAGCATCGGGAAGAGGAGTAGGGGGCAGCGGATGCCCAGCCAGCGCCTAGAGGAGAAGACACAAAGGTGAGGCAACAAAAAAGCGACAAGGGAGATGCAATACCCGATTTACTTTTGAAACATCGAGATGCAACACTTGCAACATACGTTTGAAGGGTGATGAAACATTTAAAACATGCTTCTGAAACACTTGCAAAAAAACACCTGAAAAACACTTGGAAACCATTGCAAAACATACGCAATATCCAGATAAAACACTTATAGCATATGTGTGAAACATATGCAACATACATCAAAAAATACAGATAAAACATTGGATACAGACCTTTGCAATATACGTGTACAACCATTGTAACATATGCAACATCTCGATTTGCTTTTGCAACATCCGCATGAAACAATTGCAACATACCTATAAAATACCTGAAACACATGAAACATACGCTTGCAACATGTGTTTTCAGCACATCGTAACATCTCCCTGCTGCTTGGGAGAATGGAGGCTCGTCGGCGTGTGAAGTTCACCACAGACAGCGTCCCGGCGGTGCTTGTAGACAGCGGGCCAGCGGCAATGGCTGCACATGACGGTAGGGAGGCATCAGCCACGCGATGCGGCAGGGAGGCACAGGGCAGCCATGGCTCAGAGGCGGCCGTGCGCCGCGCCAGGCAGGTAGGGTGGGTAGTCCGGTGGCCGAGCAACGTGCCAGACAAGCAGGGATGACAGCCAAGCGCCGTGGAGGCGGCCGCGTGTCGCCCCTAGCAGGTAGGGCCAACAGTCCGGTGGCCGAGCGCTGCTCCTCGGATGCCGCAGGCAAGCGCAGTCCGGTGGCCAAGCGTTGCTCCTCAGAGGCAGTGGCTGAGCGCAGTCCAGTGCCCAAGCGCGACTCCTCGGAGGCAGCAGACGAGCGGATAGAAGCGACAAGTGTATTTTTTTTATTAGAAAACGGACGAGAGGATTCAGGGGATCATTGGACCGGTCCACTGCACATCTGCGAGACGCGTCACAACGCACGCGGACGGACGGACGTCCTGACGCCAGCTTTATGAAGATACAGAGATAGCAACGCGAACCAGGATTATCAGCGCCATAAAAATAAAAAATGTAATGCAAGGATAAACCCAACGGGTACCAACCCAGGTTCATCGACCATAGCACAGCCGCACACCAAGCAGAAACAAAAGTCGCACAAGTTCCAGCAGATATTTGGCACAGCAAAATCCGACCAACCGCATTGTTGCAGCAAGACAGTGGCGTCTAACAAAAAGCATACCACCTATGTAACAAAGGGGCAAGGTGATGAGCTAAGAATCACATACAATTTACAAGTTACAACAACATTTCTGTAATTACAGTTGACAACACTACAATCGTGCCAGGTTCACAGATGAGGTGCTTTGTTTGAGGAATCACATGAATATCTAGAATGAGGTCACCCATGAATTGGTTGGGATGAACTCATTCCTCATGATGAAGCTAGCCATGTGCTTGTACGGATTAACCAACTAGACCAAGCAAAAATGTAAGGTGTGAGAAGGTGATGGTTCACCCATTCCTCAAACCACCTAGCTTTCTCAGAATTACTGCTTCCTCAGTGAAGTCAACGATCTGCGGAATTGCTTTGCAAGTTCTTGGAAAAACTTGACATCTGATGGTTTTGTTCTGCTGATTGCAGACTTGAAATGGTCTCATTGCAACTTCTTGGATGTCAAACCTCTCCTGTTGAAAAAAAGAGTATTCTGTCACTTAACTTCTAGCACCACCTAGTGAAAAATGCATATGCTCATGCTACTAGACTGGGAAGAATGAGAAGCATACATCAACTGCAGCTTCCCTGCAGATAAGCTTTATGTCAGCGCCAGTGTAGCCTTCTGAGAGTCTAGCAAGTTCGTTTAGATTCATGTCAGCACTGCATGGCATGCTGCGTGTATGAATCCGGAAAATATCTGCACGGTCGGCTTCGTTTGGTGGTTGCACATCCAGCACCCTATCAAAACGACCTAGGGCATATATCACTCTCAGTCAGATCAAAGGAGTGTAACAAGCATTGTTTGTGTAACCCCAGAAATAAATTTAAGCACTGATACAAGTACATCAACTAAATAACAATTGAACCAATAACCTGGCCTCAGAAGTGCAGGATCAATTTTGTTAGGACGATTTGTAGCTGCAATTACAGTAACACCAACTCTCTAGTCCAAACCTGTTGCCACTAGTAAATTATGGACCATAAAAGTTTACAGACCAAATAGGAGCATGTAAATAACAAAATAAGTCAGATAGAAGGTGATCAACACATTCCAACTGTGCGTAAGCACAAACATATGGCTAGAACTGAACAACATTGACTGGAAATATCATAATCAGATGTTTGATGCTTATTTTTTTTCATGGATAACTTTTGATGCTTGGTTTATGTCCAAGCAACAAAATACATTATTGTCATTTGGCAACCTCTAATCACATGCTTAATTAACACACTTTAGAGTGTAGTGAAGAAATAAGCTGATTAGAATAAAACATGATAGTAAATTATGCATCATAACCAGTGTAGATGTTAGACAGAGAGGTTAGCTTATGGGCCTAGCATCCTGAGTGTTTTCTCCTGAAGGCCTATGGGCCAGGTGCAGCCCAACACTGGGCGCCCCTCTTGCCTGTGTATAGGGCTAAGGGTAGCTGCCCTCAGCCTATATATGACTGTACCTTGCCACCAGTATAATCAATCTATTGTTTGCGCATATCTCTATGCTTTGAGTAGAGATCGATAGAAGCTTGTAAAAAACAAAATAAGATAAAAAAGGTTATCAACACAGTCCAACCGTGCGTAAGAACAAGCAAATGGCTAATACTCCAACCGAATAACATTGACTGGAAACATCATAATCAGATATTTGATGCTTGGTTTATGTACAGTCAACAGAAAACATTGTTGTTATTTGGGAACCTCTAATCACATGCTTTAAAACATCTTAGCGTCAGTGAAAAAATAAACAGATTAGAATAAATCCTAAGGCAATTATTGGTGAGTTTATGAAAAAAATATGGAGATTTGAAAGAAGAATTTCCTAATGAAGTGTTAAAACTCACCATCCATTTCCACAAGCAACTGACTGAGGACCCTATCAGCAACAGACGTGCCATCATTTTGTTCCCATGAGTTACTGCAAGCCCATCTATTTCATCGAAAAATAATATTGCTGGTGCATTAGCCCTCGCCTTTGCAAATAGAGATCTCACTGCCTTTTCTGAGTCACCGACCCATTTGCTGAAAAGTTCAGGACCCTTAACAGCAAGGAAGTTCAATTTTGCTTCGGAAGCTGCAGCACGAGCCATCAAAGTCTTGCTGCAACCCGACGGTCCTATCATTAGCAATCCTCTAGGGGGTTGGATCCCTAAATGTTCAAATGCTTCTGGGCATTTTTGTGGTAATTGGATAGCTTCAATTAGCTGCTCCTTGACACTGAACTGACCACCAACATCTTCCCAACGTACCTTCGGAAGCTCAAGAATAACCTGTACACAACATGATTCAGCAATTGGCATTTTTTTTTCACAGACCACATATATAGATAGGAACTGTCATAAAAGAAGCCAATGGCTAAAGCCTTGCTGCTGGATAGAAGTGATACCTCGCGCATCGCACTTGGTCTAACTTTTGTTTTAGCCTTGTCAAAATACTTAATGGTTACTAATAGTGGTATTTCATCTGTATCATCATAAGACTCACAACAACAACAAAGCCTTTAAGTCACAAACAAGTTGGGGTAGGCTAGAGTTGAAACCCAGCTGAAGCGATCAAGGTTCAGGCACGTGAATAGCTGTTTTCCAAGCACTCCTATCTAAGGCTAAATCTTTGGATATATTCCATCCTTTCCAGTCTCTTTTTATTGCCTCTACTCAAGTCAACTTCGGTCTTCCTCTGCCTCTCTTCACGTTACTATCCTGGCTTAGGATTCCACTACGCACCGATGCCTCTAGAGGTCTCCGTTGAACATGTCCAAACCACCCCAACCGGTGTTGGACAAGCTTTTCTTCAATTGGTGCTACCCCTAATCTATCACGTATATTATCGTTCCGAACTCGATCCCTTCTGGTATGACCGCAAATCCAACGCAACAAACGCATCTCCGCGACAGTTATCTGTTAAACATGTCGTCTTTTCGTAGGCCAACATTCTACACCATACAACATAGCAGGTCTAATCGCTGTCCTATAAAACTTGCCTTTTAGCTTCTGTTGTATCCTTTTGTCACATAAGACACCAGATGCTTGGCGCCACTTCATCCACCCTGCTTTTATTTTATGGCTAACATCTTCATCAATATCCCCGTCTCTCTCTAGGTATCCTTCCTAGGCATTACTTGACCTTCCAAACTAATATCTTCCTCCTCCTGAGTAGTATTGCCGAAGTCACATCTCATATACTCAGTTTTAGTTTTAGTGAGTCTAAAACATTTGGACTCCAAAGTCTCCCGCCATAACTCCAGTTTCTGATTCACTCCTGTTCGACTTTCATCAACTAGTACTACATCGTCCGCGAAAAGCATACACCAAGGGATGTCCCCTTGTATGTCCCTTGTGACCTCATCCATCACTAAGGCAAACAGATAAGAGCTCAAAGCTGACCCTTGATGTAGTCCTATCCTAATTGGGAAGTCATCCGTGTCTCCATTACTTGTTCGAACACTAGTCACAACATTGTTGTACATGTCCTTAATGAGCCCGACGTACTTCGTTGGGACTTTATGTTTGTCTAAAGCCGACCACATAACATTTATTGGTATTTTATCATACGTCTTCTCCAAGTCAATAAAAACCATGTGTAGATCATTCTTCTTCTCCCTATACCGCTCCATAACTTATCTTATTAAGAAAATGGCTTTCAAGGTTGACCTTCCGGGCATGAAACCAAATTGGTTCATAGAGACCCGCGTTATTGCTCTCAAGCGATGCTCGATAACTCTCTCTTATAGCTTCATAGTATGGCTCATCAACTTAATTCCCCAGTAATTAGTACAACTTTGAATATCCCCTTTATTCTTTAGATCAATATCAATATACTTCTCATCCACTCGTTAGGCATCTTGTTCGATCGAAAAATATAGTTGAACAGCTTGGTTAGCCATACTATAGCTATGTCCCCGAGGCATCTCCACACCTCGATTGGGATACCATCCGGTCCCATCGTTTTACCTCCTTTCATCCTTTTCAACGCCTCTCCGACCTCAGATTCTTGGATTCTCCGCGCAAAGCACCTATTGGTGTCCTCAAAAGAGTCGTCCAACTGAAAGGTTGTATCCGTATTCTCACCATTGAACAATTTGACAAAATACTCTTACCATCGATGTCGGATCTCATCCTCCTTCACCAAGAGATGCTCCCTTTTATCCTTAATGCACTTAACTTGGTTGAAGTCCCTTGTCTTTCTCTCACGAACAATAGCCATCCTATAAATGTCCTTCTCTCCTTTCTTCGTACTCAAATGTTGGTAAAGATCCTCGTACGCTCTACCCTTTGCCACACTTACAGCTCGCTTTGCAGTCTTCTTTGCCACCTTGTACTTCTCTATGTTGTTCACACTCCTGTCATGGTACAAGCGTCTATAGCATTCTTTCTTCTCCTTAATAGCCCTTTCGACTTCCTCGTTCCACCACCAAGTATCTTTAGCCTCGCCTCCACTTCCTTTGGTTACTCCACACACCTCTGAGGCCACCTTCCGAATGTTGGTTGCCATCTTCTCCCACATGTTATTTATGTCCTCTTCTTCCTTTCAAGAGTCCTCTTTGATAACCCTTTCCCTGAATACCTCTGACGTCTCCCCTTTCAGTTTCCACCACTTTGTTCTTTCAATCTTAGCTTATTTATCCCTATGGGCACGTACCTGAAAACGAAAGTCTGCCACCAAAAGCTTATGTTGAGAAACAACACACTCCCCTGGTATCAACTTGCAACCCAAGCATGTTCGTTTGTCCTTTCTTCTTGCGAGGACAAAGTCAATCTGGCTAGAGTGTTGTCCGCTACTGAAGGTCACTAGATGAGATTCTCTCTTTTTAAAGAAAGTGTTGGCTATCATCAGGTCAAAAGCTACCGCGAAGTTCAAAACTTTCTCCCCCTCCTGATTCCTACTACCATATCCAAAACCTCCATGAACTGCCTCGAAACCTACGCTTGTAGTACCTACATACCCATTAAGATCTCCTCCTATAAAAAGCTTCTCACTACTAGGTACAGCTCTAATCAGGCCATCTAAGTCTTTCCAGAACTGTCTCTTAGCACTCTCGTCGAGGCCTACTTGGAGGGCATACGCACTAATTACGTTCAAGACCATATCACCAACGACAAGCTTGACTAAGATAATCCTATGTCCTTGCCTTCTCACTCCCACCACACCATTCTTGAGGCTATTATCAATCAAAACTCGTACTCCATTTCTATTCGCGACTATCCCTGTGTACCAAAGCTTAAAACCTGTATTGTCCATCTCCTTCGCCTTCTGACCTTTCCATTTAGCCTCTTGAACGCATAATATATTTACACGCCTCCTAGTCGCGGTATCAACTAATTCTCTTAACTTACCTGTAAGCGACCCTACATTCCAACTACCTAAACGGATCCTAGTTGGTTCGACTAGCTTCCTTATCCTTCGCACCCGTCGACTCAGATGTGAAGACCCTTGCTCATTTTTCACTACACCCGGGCGCCGATGTAGCGCGCCACTAAGGAAGCGACGACCCGATCCTTGCTCACTTGACACCATGCCCAGATCGCGACACGGCGCGTCACCAAGGGGGGTCATCATAAGACTCGCTACTTTTTATGTTACCACCCTTCATGCAGGCAACATCATCTGATGACATGGTCAACTGTGAGAAAGAGGCCGATAATGTGCTTGGATCTTCAGTATCTTGACTATTACACTTATCAAAACTACAGCCAGGATGACCAAGTTGTTGAGTTGAATTTTCTTTTAGGCTGATGTAACGCCACAGAGCACTCAATGCAGCCTCATTGCACAGTGCTGCTAGATCAGCACCCACAAATCCATGGGTTGCTAGAGCAACAGACTCAAGTTCTTCATTGCTGAGAGAGTGATGAACTCCAATTAGAAGGCAGCGAAGTATGTCCATCCTCTGTCCTAGGGATGGCACTCCTGCAACCCAGTTTGAAGACAACAAAACATGATTAACTTGGTTTTAAACTCAACAACATATCACTGGACAATGATGTTGAATTGAAGTCATTAAATTTGGTGCCATCTATAAGTGCATGGCCAACCTTAGTGTCCAAAAAAAAAATCCTTTGGCTACTAAAAACACACAAATAATCACTTATTACAGATGACAAAACTTACAAGTACAAAGCAAGTTTAAAATACTGGCCAGTCCTAAATGCATTATGCTACTTCATAAGATCAAAAGGCCAGGTTGCTAATACATTCTACACATTCATAAGCGCTTTCATTTTAGTTGCAGGCATTAATTTAAAAAGCATGATGTGTATGTGGAGTAGACTGTAGACTACATCCACAGCCATTCACATTGAAAATATATGGATAGCATCAGAGCATTCTACCTATTTCAATTTCTTTATCCAATCTTCCAGGACGTCGCAATGCAGGGTCAATACTATCAGGCCGATTCGTAGCAGCAATCAAGAGAACACGATCACTAGGGCCAATCTCATCCATTCTAATAGATAACTCCTCACTCCCATCCTTCCTTGATGGAGCAATTGCATCCAATTCATCAATAAATATCTAATAGCAACAAAGATACATGATACTGTTACGAATGCTAACATGATGGGATAAGGATCCTAATTAGGATACAATACTTCAAATATATAGCATTGCTCCTTGCTAACAAAATAGTTCAAACTATCACCTTGGATAATCAGTGCGCAAACATTTCAATATTTGACCTGACTCATATGCAATGTTTCAGAGAGGATGAATCAGACAACTTGGTAACAGAAAGTCAAAAACCTGAACCATAACTGGAAAAAAAAGTTTTTTTTTTAATTAAAGAGTTTCAATTATGAGGAGAACGGTGGAGATGCTCCTAAATAGGAGCAATGCAATATTATATAGGTAAGTTAGCTGCTTTGGTAAGACACTTCAATGCTCAACTATTGATGCTTAATTAGCATAGCATCAGAAACAGGCTTCAACTGAATCTGTTGCTTGTATGCATCATAGAACATACAGTGAAGAATTCAGCATCCCTCAATCATTGGGAGCATTTTGCATTAAGAACAGAAGAGGAAAAGGAGATATATAGTCAAGCATAGTTGTTTGCCTGCTGGACGTGAAAAAATAGTGAAAAGAATAACAAGTTCAATTTCATGAATTAAAATAGAAGATAGTTTTTAAGGCTTCAGAGTTGCACAACCCATCAAAATATTAGAGCAGCTTGCGCTCAATATCATAGTGTTACCCTCCAGAAATAAGTTGCTAGTGAACACACTTCATGTTGAATACCCGGAGTAGGTATCATTACAAAACCAAGTCAGTAAATAAAAGATTTTTTTTTTGTCCTAATAAAATGGGAGTTTAGATGTTATGAATTGTAGCATTAGCACTTTAAGAGGTAACACTACTACTACTAGGAGCCCAGGATTCTTTTTGCAGTTGACATAACGGTAAAGGTAATTGCAGTCGATTATTCAAAGAAATTCTAACCACAGCAGGTGCAGCTTGCTTGGCTGAACTGAAAACATCGTACAGAGATTGCTCGCTTTCTCCGTAATAATGACTAATGATCTCTGGTCCATTGATTGTAGGTTGACCCCTGCATCATAGGCACAGGAAGAAGCAAGAGGGGTTTTCCCTGTTCCAGGTGGACCATAAAGAAGAATACCTTTGTATCTACAAACAATTAACGTATTGCAAAATTAAAACCATTAATTTTTATGGCTGAATAGTGAGAAGTGTATATCTTTTCACGCAATACCTTGGCAGACCAATTTGATCAGCTAGTGAAAATGAAATTATTCCTTTTATGGTTGCTGACTCTTTAGATAACCCACCAAGTGTTGAGGCATGATTGAAATCTTCATTTCTTTTGTCATCATACTCGTAAAGTTCTGATGGTAAACCCGGTTTATCTGAGCCAAGCTGCTTTGTGAAGACAGAATCAGATAAACGAACTTTTGTGGTTCCGTCAACAAGGAACAAAACTGGGGTTTCCCCTGATTTAGTTGAATCCTCTGCATTAGACAGTGTATTCCCTTTCTCACACAAAACATCTTGAGAAGAACTATCTGGTTCTGCTCCCATAACCACAAACAAAGACAGTTTTCCACATACTGAGAGAGGAACAAAGTTTCCTTTAAGCAAGTGTCTACCATTAAGCCACAGTACTGCTGAAGTTTGTAACAACTCATTAACTTTCTCATCTGCTAGTGCTGATCTTGCAGTGGTTGGATCCAAGCACATTGAAGAGCCACTGTTGGAAGCAAAGTGATGGGATTCCTTCTTATGCACTGGAGTTGAAGGACCCCTCTTAGGTGTCTCCATAACCATTGCGCTTCTTTCAGGTTGGTAGTCAGACTCTGATTCAATGCCATTGGAAGATCCAACATTAGGTGGAACTAGGCTAAGATAAAGATTCTTACATTTCATTACCCGTAAAATATGAATATCATCACTACGCTTTGGGGCCTGAAGTGTACACAAGGGGCTAATAAACAACAATCGACCTACCAAAGGGTGTCCCAAAACACAAGCAAGATCCCAAGAGAGCTTGATACCATTCTTTGGAACCTAGTAAGATAACCCAGTCAAAAACTTCAACAATTTGTTATGCTTGCCACTTAGACATCATGAGAATAAAAAATAGAAAGACATACCTCACGCAAGGGGAGAACTGTAGAAACCACAAAGTTTTTCCCAGCTTCACCATACAGGAGATCATTGTCCAGATCAAGATCAAAGAATCTGTTGCACTCCTCAAATAAATTAACTAGTGGGAAAGCATCTAACTGATAACTGCTTGACGAAATTAGTGAGACCTACGAACAAGGAAACACACTCAGCTTAGTTATTGAAAAGAAAACATAAATAGAAATAAACTAGTAAGTTTGTGCTTTGGTGGAACTCTGAAGTTGGTTTCACAATCAGAATAGCATAACCTAAAGTCCAATTCTTATGGTGGTTGATGGCACAAAGCTACAAAAGAGAATCAAATGCAGGTACAATCTCAAGAAGAAAGAAGTCCATGAAGATGACATCTGGCCTATCTGTGCAGCAGCTCAGAAGATCACTGTGACCTGATCCTGAGCTGCCCTTCACCATTGGCATTTGAAGCAGTGCCGGTTCAAGATGGGTGAACTATGGCCGCTGCCCAGGCTCAGGACCCACGTTGCAGTCTGATGTTTTTGTTCAGCTACTTTGCTGGCTTTGCTGGATGATCTGAAGCACAGAAATGAGGTTTTGTTCAATGGACAGCCTCCACTTAGTTCTGCTTGCAACTTTGCAAGGAAACAGCTCATATCTGGAAGCACCTATTCCCTGTCGCAGATAGGGGTGTTGAAAACCAAAGTTGTAATCTTCTTCCTTTCCAATAACTTAACTCTCTGAACTATGTACACCTCCTATGATCTGAGCAATATATTAATGTGGGCAGCGCTCCCCTCCCCCCTGATTGAAAAGATAAATAAAATGTGCACATTTCGGAACAGAACATCTGACTCTGCATGCAGACGCTGATGGGCCCAAGCCACCTTGAGTTTCTACCGATTACTCAAAATCAGTCAAATTGGACCTCATAAGACTAGATTGATCATTAGTGCCCTTGTGCGATGATGAATTGAACCTCCCCCGCACAAAAAGAAATAGTACAAATTTGAGTGAGCAACGATTCTAGCTTAAACGAAGCTGGTCCACAGTCCACACTAACAATTTGCAGAAACAAACAGTCCTAAGTCGAAGGAACAAGGCCGAGGCACCAAAAGAGGAGCAGGGAGGAGCTTACGGAGACGAGGCACCCGGGCCGCATCCCGGCGCCGACCATGGAAGCCTCGGAGAACCAGAGCCTCCCCAAGCGGCCGCCGCGGTGTCACGACCCATGGCCAAGCCGGCGACGTGAGCGGCAACAATCAGAGATCGGAGGGGATCTCGATACGGAGTAGGAAACCTGGCTTCCTTACCTTACCTGTCTTCTCTATTTTCTTTCTCCTCCACAGTTCATACTCTTGGAACTTATACACATCATCTGGTCTTCCACCTGGGTCCCATGGGTGGGTGGTCCACTTGTCAGCTAAAGCCTTGGACACCTTGCTATTCATGGGTGTTACACGCGGCTCCCGTCCCTGGGGGCCACTTTGGCGACGGTGCCAGAAAAGCATCCATCGCCGCCGCGAGGAACGAGCGCCGGGAACTCCGCTGCTGCTGCGGCGGCGGCGGCAATGGATGGGAGGTCGACGCCTCTCTCGCCGTCGATGCTTCCGGAATCTCGGGAGGAGCGAGGGGGAGGCGTGCGACGCCGACGGGTGCTTATTCTTGCCCTTGGAAGGAGGCATCGCGTCGGAAACAAAAGATGCGCGCGCTGGCGACGGCGCCGGAGGAGGAGCGCGGGCGACGGCGAGCCTAAACTCCAGTGAGGAGTGAGGAGAGGGAAGCGGCCAGTCGAGAGGATGAAGGGGGTCCAGTTCGTCCCTTGGGCCAGGAACGGGTCCTTAGATGGGCTCCGATCGGGGCTGACTGGGGAAATTCTTTTTGTTTGTTTTTTATTTTAGGATTTAGGAAAAAGAATCTATTTTATCTTCCTAAACAATCGTGATTGTCCGATTTACTACAAAAACCAGTTTTTTTAATACCGATGTTTTGCACTTGGATGGTTTTGATGATCATTTTGCTAATGTGGTGCTACGTCAGAGGGGGTAGACTAGAGATGTTTTTAAAGAATATCCAAAATCATAAAATAATTTTTCAAAAAAGATATCTAATTATTTTTACATGGAAAAATAATACAATGAAAAAGCCTATAATTTGGATTAATCTTAGAAAATTTTTCTTACCTCAAAATATTATGAAACTAGTTTTAGATTTTTCTTAAAAAATTATGCTCTATCTTATGCCACCTAGCTTGAAATTGTTTCAATCTTTATGAGCACATTTTGGTGTATTTTTGCTAGTAGAAGCTCTCATTATCTTTTTGTAGTTAGTCGATGTTATCGTCAAACTATGTAGAAGCGTTAGTGGAGCGTCGTCTATCGTCAAACTATGTAGCGTATGTGTGGCAGGGTAGGCGTTGGTCCCCTTTCCTGGATAAATTTTGAAAGTAGTTATGTTAGCCTACGTGGCTCAATGCATCCTGCTGCACATGGTCCTAACAATGCTTTAGGAGCGCTTATACGTAGTTCGGATGATCAACATCGACTAATTATAATAGATAACGAGAGCTTCTACTAGCAAATAAGCACCAAAATAAGTCTATAATTGTTCAAACAATTTAAAGCTAGGCACCATAAGATAGAGCATGATCTTAGAAGAAAAAGATTGAAACTAGTTTCATAATTTTCTGAGGTAAAACAATTTTTCTATGTAATTTCTAAGAATAAGCCAATTTTTAGGTTTCTTAATTGCATTATCTTTTCATGTAAAATATTTAGATAATTTTTTGAAATTTTGTTTTTATGAACTTTTGGATATTTTTTTTAAAAAAAATTATAGTCCAATTTACCTCCATCAACTTTCAGCTTAGTTCGATTTACTACCCCTGATCCACATGTCAGCAAAACCACCAGCGAAACTATCCAAAGTGAAAAAACAAACAGATTTCAACTGAAGATGGCTTAAAAAATTGATTCATGTAGTTTATAAAGAAAAATCAGACCATGATAGTTGTGGGAGGTAAATCAATTTTTTTCCTTTCTTTTATATCCTTAGGTTCTGATTTTGCAAACGTGGTCTGTTCAGCTGATGGTTTCTACGGCTGATAAGCTGGATGATGTTGTTTTATTATAAGAGAAAAACACTGTACCGCTGGGCTGATCAGTTCAAGCCAACAGGCGTAGCCTTATGCCACCATGTAATTCGGGCATTATTATTTAAAACCTGGCGCCGGCGTTTTTAAGCTATGATACTGTTCAGCTGTTTGTTACAGTAGATGTTGCTGATCTGTACCGTTGGATGGCTGAAAGCTGCTCAACGAGCAGCCGAACAAATGTCCTGTACCGATGTCTCTTTGTAACTGCTATTCCTGGCCCCATTTACTTCCTGCCGCTACGTCTGAGTTATAAACGACATTGGATTAACCATATATCATCGTTACATATGGATCTCGATCATTTTATTATTGGGGTTTTTTTTATTGATACTATTATAATTTTTGAAGTTGAGAGAAATACTATTATTATTCACCTATTCTGAACCTTACTATTATAATTCTTCCTCCGTTTCAAATATTCCACAGTATACGTACGGAGAAGCCTTGGGCCCAAATGCAGGCGTACACGAGGTCATCGTAATTTCGTATAGACAAAGCTACCCTTCCAACTTACTCTCTTTGGGTGTGTTTGGTTTTCCGGCCTATTTGTAGCCTGATTAGCTTTTAAGCCTGGCTAGCCTTAACATGCTCCCACCAAGGCAACCCCTAGTTGTTTGGTTGTTTGTACTATCTAAGTCTGGCTAACAATTGGTATGTTTGGTTGTTTGGTTTGGTTTGCATAGAATCGCCTCTTCTTCCAACCGTTAAGTTTACCTCCATTGACGAATTATGTCGAACATGTGGTTGGCACCTCTTGAATAGGTGTATGACGAGCACGACGAGCAGCTTAACGAGCACGGCCAGCACCTTAGCGAACACCCAACGAGCACAACGAGCAGCTCAACGAGCACGGCCAGCACCATAGCGAGCACCCAACGAGCACGGCGAGCATCCCGGCGAGGACATCCCTCCGTCATGTCTAAGCTTCGGCAACTGATGCATCCAGGAAGGAGAAGTCGCTATTCCTACCGGTGGACCCAGCCTCCTCCGGTGTGGTGATACAAACTCCACCAAGGCTGGCCAGGGCCTGGCCAACAAAATAACGATCGCTAGCTGCGTTTTTCCAGGGCTTAGCCCAGGCCTGTATGGTTGGCCACACGTAGCCAGCCCCAACCCCTCTACAGCCAACCAAACAGGCCAAACTTGGTTCTGGGAACCAGGTCAGGGGTTGGCCACCCAACAAAATACACCCTTTTATGTCACTGATGTGTGGACCCCACTAGTCATTTTCTTCCTCCTTCGCTCCCCGTCTTCTCTCTATGACAGCTTCTTCCCCAACTCCCATAGCAAAGAAGTGGGCATGCGGCCGCCGTCGTGCCCCTCAGCCATGGCATGGCAGAGCTCACTAGTAGAAATATCTACTTCTATGACGATTTGATTTTGTCACTGAAGGAGTCAAATTCGTCATAATTTCGGTTTTATGACGAAGTTACGACGAAAACCAGTTCGTCATAGAAGTCACGTCATACTTGAAATTCTATGACGATTTTCACAAATCGTCATAGAAGTGGCTTGATCTGTGACGAAAACAGAACGTCATATAACTATTTTAGCATGCATGTCAACGGGGCTGCTACGTTGGTGGGTGCTTTCGTTGGAGATACTTTTCACGTGTACATGCTATAGCCAGTTGCATTGGAGATGGTTTAGGTATGTGTCACCTTCTTATAGCACAATGTGGCCATCTCTGGTTCTTGCACGTTTCAGGTTCTTACTCGACCACGTGTCATGTTTCTGTTGTTCCATATGTCAGTTTTTTTATGGGCACACGTGTCATTTTGCGATTGGATCACGTGTCACTTTTTCATTGGAACATGTGGCATATTTTTATTGGTCCACGTGGCTGTTTCTTATTCGATCATGCATCATGGCACTGTCTGTCCATGTTTCACATTTTTATTTGGCCACGTGGCTTGATGACATCCTACCACGTGTTGGATTTTTAATAGCCCACATGTCGTGCTCTGGCTATTTCACGTGTCATGCACTGGTTCCTCTACGTGTCGCATTTTTATTTGATCACGTGGCTTGTTCTGGTTCTACTGCGTGGAGTACAATCAATTTGTCATAGAAGTAATTCGAGATCGTCACTGCTGCCCAGATTGATTACATAACAATTCAGCCTGGCAATCAAATAACAACAATTAACATTTCACACATCAGCAGCGAACCACTAATAGAGTATCACAACATCAAACCATCACATGCGTCCACACAACAGACCATAAATGTTCACCGCATCAAGCCGTAAGAGGTGACGATAGAGAGTTAATTACCATGAGAGCTTTAGCGCAAGACTAGCTCACTGAGCCTATTGTACTCCTCCTGTTGCTGTTGTTTGAATAGCCTTTTCTATCCTTACCTTTAGTTCATCCACTAGTTCGACGAGCTCAGATGTACTTTCCTGTTCACCAGTAAGCTGCTCCCAAAGTGTCATCTCTGCCGATGTCTCTACTCTGGTGGAGCTTCTCAGGATACCAACATTCTTTAAAAAAAGGTTTTTGCTGCTTGCCTGGGAGGGGTGCTTGCCCTAGTAGAGGCAGATGACCTTGGAAACAACATCAGCACTAGTCATTAGTTGTTGTCCATCAGCAACAGGTTTTGCTTGCATAGCTTCCTGCGAAATTCAATCAGTAAAACATTAGGTTATAAATAGTGGAAGTGGACTTCAACTGAAAACCCAAGAGATTAATTCATAACAAGTAATGCATAAGACTTCCTCAGACGACTGCTGATAGAGATTACATAAGCACAATGCATAGGTCTTTTGCAGCCTACTGCCGGTAGAGATTACGTAAGCACAATGTACATGTACCATATTGAATGGTGTAAAATTGCAACTACAAAATTAAATGATGTTGCCACATTAGACTCCTGCTGCATTTTCTTCTTTTTATGGCAATGGGTTCAGTAGATTTCAAGGAAATCAAATGAAGGTACTTACAACTGCTGCTCTTGCAGCATCGCTCAGGCCCTTTTTCGTACCGGTATGGAAGTCCTTGAAGACTTACACATCATTAACATCTTCATTAGGTCGACCATGTTGTTCAAGTCCTAGATCGTCATGTTGTTCATCGTCCTTAATCGTGTTCTGTGGCCTTCCTCTTTGTCGAGTTCATAAACCCGGGGTCCCTCATGGATCGGCTTCCCAACAGAGGCTCGGCCCAAGCAAGACACCGCGCAACTCATGGGCCGGCCCAAGTACTAGAACGACAGGCAAGAAGGGCGATCCAATCACTGACCGGAAGGCCTGGCCGAGGAGGAACAGCGCCCGGTTCTGACTATGGCCCACCTCTACGACCAGAGCACTCGCTCCGATATTCAACCCACCTCCGGACGGTCTCTCCGACCAGAGAGCCTGGCCCAACACCGCTTCTGATTCTGACCCACGTCTCTGACCGGGGGTGCGCCAAACCCTTGCTCGCCGCTCTTCTCTGACTGGCGCAATCAGAGCCGACTAGAACCAACCGACCGGGGATGCCCGCTCGGTAAGGGACCAGTGAACGAACGGAGAAAGCAAGGCAGGGCGCA